TTTTTTTTTTTTTTTTTTTTTTGAGATGGAGTCTTGCTTGCTCTGTTGCCCAGGCTGAAGTGCAGTGGCACAGTCTTGGCTCACTGCAACCTTTGCCTCCAGGTTCAAGTTATTCTCCTGCCTTAGCCTTCCCAAGTAGCTGGGACTACAGGCACATGCCACTATGCCTGGCTAATTTTTGTATTTTTAGTAGAGATAGGGTTTCGCCACATTGGCCAGGCTGGTCTCGAACTCTTGACCTCAGGTGATCTGCCCTCCTAATCCTCCCAAAATTCTGGGATTGCAAGCATGAGCCACTGCGCCTGGCCTCACACCCTTACTTTTAACCAGTATGCAATATGGAATGATTAGAGAGTACACAGGTTTTGAGTCCTGTGATCTCATGATGATCTTTTTCCCCCATACTTTTTGTTCTTTTCTTATGTGTCTTAGGATAATAACATAGAATAAAATGCTTTAAAGAAGTAACACATTAATTTATATTTTAATTGCACAGTTTTGAATGACTTAATTTATTAAGTCCTATTACCTCAGGGGTCTCCAACACCTGGGCCATGGACTGGTACTGATCTGTGGCCTATTAGGAACTGGACCACACAGCAGGAGGTGAGCAGTGGGCAAGCGAGCATTACTGCCTGAGCTCCGCTTCCTATCAGATCAGCAGGGGCATTAGATTCTCATAGGAGCATGAACTCTATTGTGAACTGTGCATGTGAGAGATTTAGGTTGCATGCTCCTTATGAGAATCTAATGCTTGCTGGTCTGAGATGGAGCAATTTCATCCTGTAACACCCCCCTACCTCTGGTCTGTGGAAAAATTGTCTTCCACAAAACCAGTCCCTGGCACTGAAAAGGTTGGGGACTGCTGCCTTATAGCATTTTTTGGTTTAGTAACTCATAAGTGAATTTAGTCCCTACAACACTAATTCTTCAGTATAAACCGTGAAGATTATCACAAAGTCGGATGTAGATTAGTTTTTGAATATGCTCTACAGTTAAACTTGCTGTACTCTGGTTATTGCTTTCCACTGATCTTCTGTATTAGTCCATTTTCATGCTGTTGATAGACATACCCAAGACTGTACAATTTACAAAAGAAAGAGGTTAATTCCATGTGGCTGGGGAGGCCTTCCAGTCATGGCAGAAGGTAAAAGGCACGTTTCATATGGCGGCCTACAAGGGAAGAGAACTTGTTCAGGGAAACTCCCCTTTATAAAACCATCAGATCACGTGAGACTTATTCACTGTCATGACAACAGCACAGGAAAGACCCACCCTCCATGATTCAATTACCTCCCATCTGGTGCCTCCCATGACATGTGGGAATTGTGGGAGCTACAATTCAAGATGAGATTTGGGTGGGGGCACAGCAAAACCATGTCACCTTCTCTTCCCATTCTCTTCTTAAACTTTGTATGCATGAGCCAAAACATAATTATTAAGTAGGCAGGCAGAATCATGCTGATTACAATTTATACCCTCCCACACATAATACATGCATGCAGAAAAAGATCTTTCACTGTGAGAAGCCTGCAGATTGTATAACAAAGTCAGTATTTTGGTACCTATGATATTTTCTCCATGGTTGATGGGAACCAAATCCTTTGTGGAACCATTAGTGGCAGAAATAAATACATAATAGAAACGAAAGGCCTGAACTCTTTGCATAATGTCTTCCTTTTTTTCTTTTTCTTGAGACAGAGTCTCACTCTGTTGCCCAGGCTGGAGTGCAGTGGTGTGATCTCAGCTCACTGCCACCTCTGCCCCCTGAGCTCAAGTGATACTCTTGCCTCAGCCTCCTGAGTACCTGGGATTACAGGTGTGTGCCACCACACCCAGCTAATTTTTGTATTTTTAGTAGAGACAGGGTTTCACCATGTTGGCCAGGCTGATCTTGAACTCCTGACTTCAAGTGATCTGCCTGCCTTCTCCTCCCAAAGTGCTGGGACTACAGATATGAGCCACTGTGCCAGGCCCATAATGTCTTTCCAGGAGACTACCTTTTACCTGCTAGTCCAATTGTAGTATGACAGTTGTTTTCTTGCCCAGAACTCCTCTCTCTGAGGTAAAGTATGTATGGGGATGATACAGGAAAAACCATTAGACCCTAGATTGTTCTGTAGCCACCATGCTTTAGATGTAGGGTGTACACCTGTGCCTTCTGCCTGTGCTTGGGCTGCTGTGACAGTACCCAAGGTTGTATTACTTCTTTGAGGATGATCAGGGCAGATGTTCCTAAATATTTCTGAATTTGCCAGGCACTTATAAGGAAATTGAATGAATTTGTTGATTTGAGTGATATCAAATTCTTTTTCTGCCATAACTTGTCAGTAAATTTTCTTATTTTTGAATGATCTTCTTTGGGTCAGTTATGAAAACAAGGCTTATGTGGTAAAGCAGAGTGCAGATGGGAGAGCTGGTTTTTTAATTGTACAGGCTGTGTATTCCTTTTCCAGAATAAGAAATTCTTATCCAAAATAAGGTCCTTCTTGGGACCAGAAGTGTTTTTTTGTGTTTTGGATGTTTTTCAGATTTTGGAATATTTACATTATACCGGTTGAGCATCCTAAATCCTAAAATCTGAAATTTGAAATGCTCCACTGCGCATATCTTTTGAGTGTCATATTGATGCTCAAAAAGTTTCATATTTCGGACCGTTTTGGATTTTCAGATTAGGGATGTTCAACCTGTGTATCGGTGCCCTAGCTGTAGCTTCACTCACTTGAGCTCTTGCAGGAAGGGGCCTGAGGGAATCTTTTTGGAGATTGCTGGCCAGTAGAACTTTTTTGTAGTATTAAAGAGAGGGAGATGTGTCTGTTTCTAACTTCCCATGGACAGGTGAATGGACAAATGAATGTATGAATCGGACAAGAGTCAAAACACAGCAAAAAAGAAAATTTCATTAAATGTACTCAGGGATTGGGAAACAAGTTTTTTAAAAAGTTCCTTAAACTTTTGCTCAAAAGTTTTGAGTGCAATTTTGCTCAAAAAGTAAAGCGTTGTTTACAAGTTTTTCTATTACTATATTTTTATGGAGTCAATTTTTACAAACTGAGGATATATTCTTACCTTTATTCTAATCGTTAATATCTTTGTAATATTTTACTTTGGTTTTCTGAGTCGATATTATAATATTAATTGTCTAGGGATGGTTGTGTTAATTGAACCTACTGTATTAAAATGTTTTAGGAAAGATTTAATAACTTTTTCTGCCTTGTATAAGGTGAAGATCTTTTACTAAGCATGATCTTTGTGTTACTTTTAATTAGAACATTAGACCTATCAAATATAAACATGGTGAAACCGCTAGAGCTCTTTCACTTCATTCAGGTCTCTGCTCAAATGTTGCTTCCTCTAAGCAGTACTTCCTAATCACCCTACTGACAAACTAGCCACACCCTCTCCATTATTCTCTCATTTACTTAACCAGCTTTCTCATTCTTTCAATATATTTAATTGCGCTTCTCACTAGTCGACTTTTGATTGTGTTCACTGTTCTGCCCTTGACACCTAGAACAGTTTCTGGCACCATGAAAGGGACTCCATAATGACTTGTTGAATGAGTAAATTGTTCATCATTTGTCACCCCGCTAGGATGTAGGACTCATGATGGTGCCTGGCACGAGATGGGCATTCCAACATTTGTTTGAAAGAATAAAAGGAATGTTTACAAGTAGTGATCAAATTCATTTTTTTATTTATATATATGTACATGTGAGCATTTAAGTTTTAATATGTTTAAATTGAACATAGATATTTCTCATCTAGAAATAGATTCTTAAAAAGGATGTGGTATTCAAGTAACATCCAGAACCTACAAAATCTGCTGCTTTTTTGCTAATGTGGATGGGCAGATTTACCTGTAGGGTCACAGTTTTTTTCAGTGACTCAGTAACACCTGGTGTATTTTAATATAGTACCCATAGACATCAGAGTGCTGTATGTGACAAACTCATAAAATGGATTAGTATCTGGATTGGTTTTCTATTTTATTATTATTTTTTTTTAGAGCTAGAATATCCCTTTGTCGTCCAGGCTGGAGTGCTGTGGTGTGATCATAGTTTACTGTAACTCCTAGGCTCAAGTAATCTTCCCACTTCAGCCTCCCAAGTAGCTAGGACTACAGGCGCCCCCCCCCGCCCCTCCCCCCACCGCTTCCTCCACTATGCCTTGTTGATTTTTAAATTTTTTGTAGAGACAGGGTCTCAATATGTTGCCCGGACTGGTCTTAAAGTCCTCCTGCCTTGGCCTCCCATAGTTCTGAGATTACAGGTGTAAGTCACTGTGCCTGGCCTGGGTTTTTTTCCTCTACTTGCTTCATTAGTATTGTAGTGTAAATGTCCATCAGTGTGTGTGCTTTATATATTGGTTTCAGGCCACAAAATGGGGAATTAAAGCTTTATTTTTGGAGACAGGGTCTTGCTTTGTTGCCTGGGCAGTGGGCACAATCTTGACTCACTGCAACCTGTGCCTCTCAGGCTCAAGTGATCCTCCCACCTTAGCCTCCCAAGTAAAGCTTTATGTTTTTATAAGAACATTTTATAAACTCTTGTTCACACTTAATTTTGTTTTTTTTCCACTTCATCTTGTATTCTTGTGGTTTCCTTGGGAACACTGTGGCATACTTTGTTGAGTTCTTTTATCATTCGCTAACTTACTAATTGTTCCTATATGGTGAGCCTTTATGAAGCAGCATGGTACTACCTCTAGTATTCAGGGCCTTTGGGGAGAGATGATGAAAATGTAGATCAGAAATATGAGAAGTGGATAAGGCCTTAATTTGGGGCATCCTGAAGAACTGATTGTCAACCTGGCTTTGCTGGATTGATTATGTGCTTTAGGTGGTCTGTGCTTCTGGAAAGTAAAGATCCTTTTTCGAACTACGTGATTAGTGTCCAATATCATTAGCTTCTGTATATGCAGTTTCTTCCTTAGAAGAGAAAAATCTGCTCTTTTTTTCTTCTCCCAGTGATTTAGCAGAATTTTTAAATTTTCTTCAGGTAGTTAAACCAGAGAACAATGACAAAGAAACAGAAGCTGCATATGAATCAGATATCCCCGAGGAGCTCTGTGGACGCCATCTCCCGCAACAGTCCCTGAAAAGCTATAATGACAGTCCTGATGTCATTATAGAGGCTCAGTTTGATGGCAGCGACTCAGAAGATGGACATGGCATCACACAAAATGTGCTGGTTGATGATGTTAAGAAACTCTCAGTTTGTGTTTCTGAAAAAGGTGAGTACTAGACTATTGTCTGACTTTTTTTTTTTTTTTTTTCTAAATACACTGATTAAGTATTGGAATTCCCTCTCGGTTACGGAGTAGATAACACAATGCAATTGATATAGTCCTAATTTTTGACCTGTGGCAGCTTTTAGAAAAGGGGGAATCTTTGACAGATTTAGCTGCTGGTTATGAAAGAGGGGATGAAAGTGCTACCAACGGTTTGTGTGGGCAGTAGTTGCAGTTGCCACATTCCTAATAGGCTTGAGCTGTGTTGCTGAGTAACGTTGACATCTCTTGCGAGAGGCCCAATCCTGTGGCTGATGTGAACACAATTAAACTGGTATGTAAAATTCTTATGAAAAATCACTTTATTTTACTCTCAATTTTACTTTAAATATCTTTTAAAAGTATTTTTGTCGGCCAGGTGCGGGGGCTCACGCCTGTAATCCCAGCACTTTGGGAGGTTGAGGCGGGCGGATCACGAAGTCAGGAGATCGAGACCATCCTGGCTAACACAGTGAAACCCCATCTCTACTAAAAATACAAAAAAATTAGCTGGGCATGGGCCAGGTGCGGTGGCTCACACCTGTAATCCCAGCACTTTTGGAGGCCAAGGTGGGCGGATCACGAGGTCAGGAGATCAAGACCATCCTGGCTAACACGTTGAAACCCCATCTCTACTAAAAATACAAAAAAAAAAAAAAAAAATTAGCCAGATGTTGTGGTGGGCGCCTGTAGTCCCAGCTACTCAGGAGGCTGAGGCAGGAGAATGGCATGAACCGGAGAAGCGGAGCTTGTAGTGAGCCGAGATCGCACCACTGCACTCCAGCCTGGGCAACAGAGCAAGACTCCGTCTCAAAAAAAAAAAAAAAAAAAAAAAAAAAAAAAAAAAAGGTATTTTTGTCACTTCTGGTGGGCATGGATCACTCAAAATTTTATAAATAGATAACCTTAGAAAGTATTTTGATTCTAAGCCTTTTAAAAAGCCAGTCTTGTTTACTCTGATTGAAATCTAAGCCATGGGTCCTCTGGATGCAGAGAAAAAGCAGTTGTAAACACGAGAGCTGTGACCACGGACCCTACCTGACCACATGCTAGGAGACTTAAGGAAAGTATTATGTACAATTTGAATATTTCAAGGTAGAGATTTTGAAGAGATTCTACATAGAAGGAGTATATTTTCTAGCCAAATTGAATTTTATGTATACTATTAATGGAAACCGACCAACTCTGACCTGGCCAGGCTGACTAGATAATGAGCTTTGTTATCAAGAAGTTTCTGGCACAGTTCCCACAAAAGGCTAGGAGGAATGCCAGAAGATTACTAAAGGAGGATGTTCAGCAGACAACTTGTTTAGGGACTGCTGAGCATATGTCCCCACAGCATAAAGAAAGCAGAATGTGTTTTCAGGACATAACTGCAGAAGGATGACTGCTTTTCTCCATTGCTGATGAGGTAGTGATCTGTGAAAGAAAGCATTTTTGGAAAGCATGTGGTCTTTATGGTGCCAAGTACTCCTCATTCAGAATGACTTTCCAATTCTGAAATTCTTCTTGACTGAAGAGGCTCCTACTTCCTGTGTCAGGTACTGCTATGGGCCCCGCCAGGTATCACTCACTTCAGGGTACCCAGGTTCCTTTTGTTTGGGGACATGTTTAGATAACTAGTGGGTTCCATGTTAAGAGCTCAGCCAGTTCCTTTTGGATGCTATTCCTTGACATTTTATTCTTGCAATTTTTCTACTTTCTTTTCTTTTAAAATAGTTGAATACTGTGACATTCTTCTTAAAGTAAATGTGCGTTATCATAATCACATCAGTACTATGAGTCATGTATTTTCAGTGAGAAGAGTGGCAAATAACCAGGACTCTAAGTAGCCAAATCCTTCATTAACCAGATCAGCAAGGAAGAGAGAGATTCACAGGATAAAGTCAGGCAAAGGAACACTTTAAAGCCTATTGTTGGCTTAAAACTACTTCGTGGAAACCCAGCTCTGGTGATAGTCTTGGCAGATCTCAGCAGCCTCTTTTCCTCTGGGCTCCAAGTGAAGGGATAAGACACATTGATCTCTCATTAGTGGTTGGTACAAATACAAGGACAAGGAAATACTGATGGATGGAAGTGACAGCAGAATTGATGCCTGGGTTGGATGCTAATAGTTCATTTTGTTAGCATCCAACCCAGAGTTTTGGGAAACTCTGATGCTATACCTCCTCTTGATTCACCCTCTATTATAATTCTCCCCCCACACTCCTTTTGAGACAAGGTCTCACTTTTTCACCCAGGCTAGAGTACAGTGGTGTGACCATAGCTCACTGCAGCCTTGACCTCCTGGACTCAGGCGATCTTCCTGCCTCAGCCTCCTGAGTAGCTGGGACTAAAGAGTGCACCACCACACCCAGAAATTTTTTTTTTGTTGTTGTTTTTTAATAGAGACAGGGTCTTGCTGTGTTGCCAGGGCTAGTCTTGAACTCCTGGCCTCAAGCGATCCTCCTACTTTGGCCTGCCAAAGCACTGGGATTACAGGTGTGAGCCATCGTACGTGGCCCCTCCCTCTTTCTTACAAGTAAATATCACTGAGTACATTACAAGCCCACTGTATGCATGTTTCTTTCCTTATTGTTTTTGCATCTTTTCTAGCCCATTGTTACTTATATTACTTCCTTAGTAGCCCTGACTGAGGGAACAACCTTAATCCTTCCCTCAGTATCTGGTACAGATTTCTCTTTTCTGCTAGCCTCTAAATAGAGAGTTTGTGAAACCACATGGCTGTTTCTCATTTCTTGCCCTCTTGATATTTAGGAAAATTGCAATTTGCTCTTTTAAAAATCACAGCATTTTTAAGGATATTTCAACCAACTTCTCTTACTTGGGATAATAAAAAAAATCTGGTTACCATTAGGATGTTAGTACTTTTTGCACTATTTAGGGTTTTGAAGTTTGTTATTGAAACAAACCATAACCTTAAGAATATCAAACTTTTCCTAAGACTTCTAGAAAGATTCTTTGCTTTGTGTTGTACTTGCAAGTGGATTATTAATCCTGGTTCATGCTTGTGTTTAAAAGTGTTTTTTTTGGTTGTTTTTGCTGTAGTATTATGTTTCTTTGCCCAAAGCAAATGCTCCATATTGCATGTGTATTTATAGCATATACCTATTTGCTGAGGAAATGTTTATGTCTTTGTGATAACTACCAGTTTCTCTGGTAAGAGAGCACATTGCTCCTGTTGTCTGTAGCAAGTGCCTATCATTGCATTAAGAGAAACATCTCAGCATCTCAGACATTCATACAGTAGTTTCTTTGAGGATGACGGCACAGGTCTGCATTATCGCCAGCCCCTGAGAGAGAGGGGGCCAAAGACCTGGGCCCCTTTTAGAGGTCCAGTCCCCAATCCCCACTGGAGATTGAACTTTTACCACTTTACAAGCAGTAGCTTTGTTGTTAGCACAGAAACCTGCCATCCGTATGGAGCTTAGGGATAACCAATTAAAATTTTCTTGGTATCAAATGCATAAATGACTTAAAAAAATGTTTGACTATTGTGCTAGGAAATAGTAGGTCTTATTCATTCTTTGTAACTATCTTTTTTTACCCATTAACCATTGCCACTTCTCCCCACTTACTACCCTTCCCAGCCCCTGGTAATCATCCTTCTACTCTCTATCTCCATGAGTTCAATTGTTTTAGTTTTTTAGTTCTCACAGATAAGTGAGAACATATGAAGTTTGTTTTTCTATGCCTGACTACTTCACTTAACATAATGACCTCCAATTTCATTCATGTTGTTGCAAATGACAGGATCACATTCTTTTATTTATTTTTTAAATGGCTGAATAGCACTCCATTGTGTATATCTGCCACATTTTCTTTATCCACTTGTCTGTTGATGGACATGTAGGTTGTTTCCAAATCTTGGCTATTATGATTAGTGCTGCGAAAAACATGGGAGTCCAGATATCTCTTTGATACACTGTTTTCCTTTCTTTTGGATATATACATAGGAGTCGGATTGCTGGTATGGTAGCTACTTTTAGTTTTTTTGAGGAACTTCCAAACTGTTATACTGGTTATACTAATTTACATTCTCACCAACAGTGTATGAGGGTTCCCTTTTCTCAATATCCTCACCAACATTCGTTATTGCCTATCTTTTAGTTAAAAGCCATTTTAACCAGGGTGAGATGATACCTCATTGCAGTTTTGACTTGCATTTCTCTGATGATCAATGATGTTGAGCACTTTTCTGTAAGCCTCTTTGCCATTTGTCTGTCTTCTTCACTCAAGAAGTCTTTGCCCAGTCCGATGTCCTGGAGAGTTTCTCCAATATTTTCTTTTTGCAGTTTAATAGCTTGAGGTCTTAGATTTAAGTCTTTAATCCATTTTGATTTGATTTTTTATGTGAGAAGAGATAGGAGTCTAGTTTCTTCTTCTGCATATGGATATACAGTTTTCTCAGCACCATTTATTGAAGAGACTGTCCTTTCCCCAGTGCATGTTATTGGCACCTTTGTTGAAAATGAGTTTACTGTGGATGTATGGATGTATGTATGGATGTATGTATTCTGGGTTCTGTACTCTGTTCCACTGGTGTGTGTATCTGTTTTTGTGCCAGTACCATGCCATTTTGGTTACTATAGCTCTATAGTGTAATTTAAAGCCTGGTAATGTGAATTCTCCAGTTTTGTTCCTTTTTCTCGAGATAGCTTTGACTATTTTGGATCTTTATGGTTCTGTATAAATTTTAGGATTTTTTTTTTTCTATGAAGAATGTCATTGGTATTTTGTTAGGGACTGCATCGAATCTGTAGATTGCTTTGGTATTGACATTTTAACAATATTGATTCTTCCCATCCATGAACGTGAAATATCTTTGAACATTTTTGTGTCCTCTTTAATGTAATTCATCAATATTTTATAGTTTGCATTGTATAGATATTTTACTTCTTTGGTTAATTCTGAGATATTTAATTTTATTTGTAACTACTGTAAATGGGATTACTTTCTTGCTT